CAAGTGGATCATTGAGGAATAGAGTATTTTACCGAAATGTATAAATTTTTTCACCTCATACTAAATACATTTGTGAATTTATAAAAAAAAAATACTTTTTTATAACTTGTCAGCTCTCAGAGCAGTTTACATATGTAGAAACATAATTTTATATTTAACTTCACTAATTTTTTTGTGTTTTCCGTTATTATTCATGTTCTTTTATAGCTTATTTCATAAAAATTCAGTGTACAAAGCAAGTCTCTTATTTTAAACCAGTGAAAAGTAGATATCAAGGCGAAAAACTATCGATAGTAGTCGAATTTTGCAGCTCAAACTAGTCATACTGTTATTATATTTCAGCTGCTTCGCACATTTATTACTCGGGACATTCTATCCATTATTTACTTTTTTAAAATAAATCCACAAGGCGCTAGTCCCCATTTTAATAAATATATTGAAAAAAGTATATGATTTAGTTGTAAATTTATAAATAATAAGGGGTGTTGTAGAATATGATAGTTGTCGGAGTCATAATTGAAACCGATAAAAAATGTGGTAGGTGTCATAAATTCAGATATTATTGGTTTGACGTTTGAAACAGAAATTGTATCGGTTTTGGGTGTCGCGGAAACCAATTTTATGGGTTTTGTTCACAGAAACAAGGCAAGAGGATAGTCGGTGACAGATTGATGGTAGTTTGAAATGAATGTAATAGAATAATTTATATTGCAACGAACACGGTAGAATAAAATCGAATCGACGATAAATTGCGAGAAACAACTAGACAGCGAATTCGTGGTTGCCAGAATGTTCTAGAGGCGAAGTTTTGTTAAAGATCTACTACCTAAGGGTTGCCAGATTGTTCAGCACGGACAGTTCTCGTTAGAGTGTGCAGTGTTAGGAGCAATTGAGATATAAAAAAGAAGTTGTAAGCTCGGATAAGTAGTAAGGCGTTAAGTTGTTGGAATCAGAAATAAAGATTAGTGTATAGCCATTAAATTGGGACTTTTATTTAACAATCCAGTGATCAAACTGAAAAGTGTTACGATTTAATTTATATTTATTTCTATAGGGGAAAACATAAGAACTAAACATAGAATGCCATAATTAATGAGTTTATGAAGAAATTCCAGATAATTTAAGACGTTTTACAAAACGTAATAAACGTAGTTTTACACCCGAATGCGTCTGTAAGCATTTACATATACAAGCACACAAGTAAATGCAAGCCAAATTTCACATGCGATTCTCCTGGTGCATAAAGTGGATTACTGTGATTTTTTAATATCTTCCTTTTAATTTTTTCGTTGCTTTTTTTAATAAAATAAAAGCTAAAATAGCGGAACTTATTACAAATTTTGGTATACTTTATTCAGAATTTTAAATTTATCTAACGCTTCCAAATTTATTCATTTGCTAGTTTTGTCACATTAGTAAGAACCAGATTTGTTAAAATACTTAAATTTTTTTTCATCTCTCTCTTTTTGTGTTTGCTTAAAAAAAAGTAACCTGTTGACGTTTTTAACCGTTAGTACTGTTCTCCTATCAGATATTAGCAATCCAGCTTGGCTAAACATTCTCTTCGACTTTGTAATATTAAAAATTCAAAAATAATATTCGTGATATGCACTGTAGGCAGACCTATGCATTTGGGTGTATGTATGAGTATGAAGTCGTCCAGGAACCCTCGACCGATAGTTGCGATTTTTTCCCGTACAGAGCCTTACATTCGCATAGAAGATGTTTTACGTATCCTCTTCTACCTCCTGACAGCTTCTACAATAGTCATTGTAAGGTGCACCTAGCCTGCTGGCATGTCTACCAATTAGAC